CTGTGTTAACACTCAAGAAACTTGGAACATTCTCCCAAGTTATCGTGTAATCATTTTGAAATTACATTATACTGGACTTTCTTCTCCCACACTGCATACTGCTGCTACATTTAAAGTTCCTCAGGGCAAGGACTGTATCTGTATCTATTTTGTAAGGTGTTATGCAAACATATGGTGTTGTAACAACTGATAAATAATCATGAGTACACAGTAACCTCAAACTTGGGCTGGGAGATCTTTTATACCTACACTATTGCTTAGTCTCATGTGTTATCCACATATACCTGTGAGCGTACGCAGGTGAGCGTACATGCACGTGGAAGCACAGTGTACTGGTGTGTACTGGTGAGAGCGGTAATGATGCTGAAGTAAAAATCTGTCTTCAGATCTTTTTCTGGCACTTTTGTACCCCATTAACTGAAAACATTAAACCATTACATTTACAGACTGTGCACTATCATGCTTGTCTAATTGAGGGAGTAAAATTCTTTGGAATCAAAATTTCAAAAAGCAAATGAACGGTACATTCTGAGCAATTACCTGCTTTTTAAACTTACTGTGCATTTTTTGCATCAGTTGGGGGGAATGAAGTCAGTTTCTTTGAAAATAAATAAATTATAGGTTTTATGACTCACATAAAGGAAATGTGTCCTCGGTGATGCTTGTACTTAGCATAAACTACCAAGCAAGCTACATGTCCACTCTTTAAACAACTTTTTATTAAAAGAATTAAAAATATCTTTCACAATCTCTTCCCCAGCCATGCCAGTTGCAAGGATAGCAGAACCTGTTGTATTCTGCTCACCTGAAAACCTTATCATTGGGTCCTAAAACTGAGAAGTCACGATTTAAATAAAAAGTGGCAAATGTTAGTAGAAGTGAAATGCAGTCCCCTATAATTTTCCACTTTTTCTGATGAACACATTTTCCCCATAGATTAGCAATCAAATGACTACATAGTTCTTTGGTTAACTCTGCTAGAAAAGAAAAAGGAGAAGATACATTTCCTCCACAGCACAGATAACTTAGTTGCTTTAACTGTGAGATAGACCATCCCTGACAATAGTCTTTGCAAATCTTACCACTCGTACCTACAGTGGAAAGAGCCAGTAAATCCACAATCAAATGCAGGACCCTTTTGCTCCCATTTCTTCTTTAGCCTGATCCTTATGATTTCTTCTCAGTGGAGCAGCAAACACACTCTTAAAGCTCAAAAAGGGACTTCTTTGATCCTGGAAGAGAGAGAGAATAAAATGAAAACATTGTCCTACAAAAAACATTATTAAATGGTCTCTGTAAAGTTATGCTTGATTGAAATCTCTGGGGAACAGCCACTTAAGTCTGGGCTGAACTTCAGTTATGGGCAGCTGTTCACTGAGGTCCTCTGTCCCTGTTGCAGAGTGTGGTTTTGTTTTGCTGAACTGGCATGCGTACCCTGAATCTCTCTCAGGAGGCTTTTTGTATTAGTAAGGTGTGTAGTTGGCCCTTCTTCTGCCTTTATCTTGCACACTCTTCCTCATGCTGGGGTGCCCAATCACTTCCGTCATCCTCAGAGGCTACTTCTAGAAACTGCACTCAAAATTGGATATTCCGCTACAGCTCTGTTTTGGGGAACGGGTAGCAGATCTTCTTTCGTCACTTAAGGATTAAAGAAGAGCAGATAGAGAAACCTTAGCAAACTCTGAATTAATTCACAGTAGTTCAAGCAGCCTAAAAGCAATTACAGTTTTTGGAGAATCATCTGTAAGGTGATTCTCTTTATCTGCATCAGCAACAGGGAGTAGAAATCTGTTCAGTCACTCTAACAAAGTATCCATAATTGGTTACACTGGCCTTTAGATGGCATATGGGATCTGGGAGATAGGAACTGGTATCTGACTCATCACTGGGAAAGTTTGTAGAACTAAATGAAGTAATCAATTTTGTTATTTCGTATTGTTTTGTATAAGGCATGCTCTGATTAGGTCTTTTTGCATAACTCCCATTGGAACTAATGGAAGCCATATGCACAGGAGAGAAAAATGGACTTAAAAAGACATTTTCCTCATCTTAATACTGTCTTCTTTGCTTCTCTAGGCACCTTAACAATGAACATGCGTTGGATGACAGGAGCACTGCTCAGTGTCGGGTGCAAATGCAAGTGGTTCAGCAGTTAGAAATACAGGTTTGTTACATGGATGTATTATCCTACTACTTATTTACTATCAATCTAAACTAAATTGAATACACTTGCATTAGTGACTCTAGCTTAAAGCCATATGCTTCCTACATGAAATTTGTTGATACTCATGAACAAGTGGGATTTTTTATTTAAAGATTTTTCACATTATAAATTATGCAATAATTATCTAACATCAAGATTGTCTACAGTATTTTGCTTGAACTGAGACTCCAAGGCCATTCATCATGAATGAAAAATGCAGTCCTTGGAGCAAAGACTGGATCCAAGCCATCTTCAGTTCTTGAAACACTGGATCTGGACCCCTCTTCCTGCTTCCCCTTCTGACCTCTGGTGTTTGTCTATGCCATTCTGCAGGATTAAAGAGTAGCAGAGGATATCTCCACCCAAAAGTACTCCCAGCCTGTCAGTAGGCATTTTTTCTGCAAGCAGAAGGTATAATGTCAGACCTACTCAGGGAGAGTCCCACACCTGGAACTGTGAGACTCCAGTGCCCTGTACATGCTCTAACCATTAGAGGTCACTGCATGTATGTGAATGCTCCCTTCTGCTTATGCAAGAAGTGATGAGTACCCCTGGGGTCTCACAGTATTGAGATTACATTTATCAGGCCACCAAGGTTGGGCACAAGCCTCAGGAGTGACTCTGCAGGACACTTACACCACGCTGCCCCCTCCTGCCCGTACAGCAGTCATGGTGGGGGCATCTCTCAGCAGTCCTGTCCTCTCTGGGGACCAGCCAGAGGAGCTCAAGAGGCACAGCAAGGAACTGAGATTTTTGTCTCTGTTACTCGCCATACCTTGAGAAAGAAGGATAAACACGTTTCACCTTTCTCACCTTTTAGCATACTGTCTCACTGTTTTCTTTCATAAAAGAATACTTGTGCTTCTTTCAGCCAAGGCAAACTCTTTGGGTATTTTTTATTTTAACACTGGAAACCCAACACAGAGAGAGGATTGTACAATAATGTACAGAAAAATTTCATTTGCCTTAAAATGAAAGATTTTTAAACCCAGGTAAAGCTACTGGTTCTTTTCTAATATTCACAGGATAGTTTTAGCTTGATTTGTTTGTTAGGAATTTACATCACAGCAAATACCACGTCTCTAAAGTGTCACACACATAGTATGAAGCCACACAATATGAAGAAACCTTCTTCCCACCCCTTGCCTCAAATATTCAATTGGAGATGCACTGACAAAATTATATCCAGAATACTGAAAATATATGCAGTAATAAAGATAGTTTTCTCTCTTAAAATTACTTACAAGTTGTTTTCCTTAGTCCAATCTCAGTCTACAGATGTAACTCTTGAGCAAGAACTCTCCAGAAACTGGTAATATTAAATACCAAGTGATTCTTATTGCAATTAATGTTGTAATCATATTGTAGGTATCCAGAGTCAAGTCTATAGAATAAAATTTTCAGCATTTCTTTTTGGAACCTAGTTTGTGGGGGAAAAAAAATTCTTTTCATGTTATAAGGTGTATTTTCTTCCTTTATGTTTTGCCATTTTTATCAACAAGTTACATATTTCAAACACTTCCTCCTCTTTCTTTTTTTGCCTTTAATTTGGTAACTTCTTTTAGTCTGAAACTACAAATATTTACATAGCATATGGTCAGAAAATCGTGTAAGTTAGGAAAAAGTAGAGGTTTGAGTAATGAGATGTTTTCTAAAGGCAGCATAAGGGCTGCTTGAGAACTGTTTATCATTTACAAAGGCTAGGCTGTAATCTAACAGTCCAAGTGAAGATTTAGCTTGCAGTGTGACCAATTATGCCATTTTTTGCTTTGTCTGACTGCTAGTGAAGTAAGGTCCATCAGTTGTAATGAGACACTGTGCAGTGTCGATGCCGACTTGATGGCAGAGTTCAGCATTTCACACTGCCTAGGCTCTGTCACTCTATTGAATTAGATTGATGATGGCAGATTGCAGGGGGCACTAACTGGACCTCAGTGGGAAAGGATGAAGTGTGTAGTCAATCCTGGCAGGCACTGTGCTTTGAGGACCCTTCACCCCTTCACAGCTGTTGGCACTAGTCCATTGCTAACAGTGTCCACAGGACTTTAAAGAGACTCTATGGGCCTTCTAATTTATGGTCTTAGTAACTTGTTACTGTTGAGGCAACTGTGACCTCAATTCTCTTATTGACAAAAAGATGAAGTGCTATTTGTTTTCTCTGACCTTTTAACATATGAAAGGCTATAAAAGTTTTTTGGTTTTTTCTTTCTTTCCATGCCCAAAGTTAAATTTCCTCTTAGATAAGTTTCTACTGACACAGCCTTTTATATGTAGGAATCATTACACCAAGACAAGCTCCATGATAAGATGTATCACTGCAGTGAAATAGCTGTATCAGTCATTTCTAAAATGCTTCTGATCTCACTCTTTCTTAACAGCTTTCTAAAGAACGCGAACGTCTTCAAGCAATGATGACCCACTTGCACATGCGACCCTCGGAGCCCAAGCCATCTCCAAAACCTGTAAGTGCATATTGCTTTATAAACAGTAAATAGGTCTACAAATGTAGCAGGCTAAGAAAATGAACAATTTAGTGACAGTGGAAAACAATGAGTGTGATAAAAAATGTGGCAATAGAATGAAAGTAAAATGCAATAGCTTGTCAAATTGTACGTTTCTTTAAAAGTAATGCTATCTTTTACAAAATCTATCCAATCTACACGATAGGTGACACTAAACAAAGTACACCTGTAAGTGTCCAAATCATTGCCTTGAGATTGAAACTAGAGAGAATATGTTTTTGTGACATATTTACAGATATTAAAAGGAAATCCACTTTGAAAGATTTGAAGTTCAG